TCACTTTATTCATTACTAGGTGTCAGATCCATCTCTAGTAATTCTTATCTTCTACATCTGGATTTCCCTTTTGCTTTGTCAATAAAAATATTATGGGATAAATAAAATTTTAATATTCCCTTCTTAAGAAATGGAGAAACCAGAGGATGAAAACGAAGAGGTTTCCATATTGAGGTGGGAGGACCATTGGAACCCACACGTCTCTCGGCCTGTGGTGTGGGGCAGGGGCTGCTCAATTGTGGAGAGCTGGAGCCGAGAGACACCACAAAGAGAAAAATAGAATATGGAGGAAGATGGCAGAAGGGAACTGAAGACATCAGAGGTGCGCTGACATTATGAGCCCTGAAGACCAGAGGAAAATTGGAAACGCTGAAAGCACTATATTATGGGAGAAGAGAAAGAATACAGTTAGCCATTAATTTTGAGTGGCCAGATGATACCTGGGGAAGTAGAATTGAAGAGTAAGAAAAAGAGTGTAGCTAGAAATATAAATGCCATGCAAATCAGATTTGGGTGATAATGGAAATTCTCCAGTGGAAAGGGGTTTGTCAAGGAAATACGTATCAAAGCATGGTTATAATTAAGGTTTGGGTAATGGGCTCATGTGCCAAAGGCAATTGCTACCCTTATGCATTTTGTGCTTATATTCATAATATATTTCCTAAAAACTGATGTACATTGGAAAATAAATGTAATGTTAAAAACATAAAAGTATAAAACCATGAGAGAAAAATAAGAAAAAAATTTTGGTTGGAAAACCCAATTTAATTCAGGCTAAGAGAAAATAAAGAGAGCTACAATGTTCTTTATATTGTTACTGAAATATGCTGCAAATTTTCTTAACAAATGGCAAAGAAACCAGAAAAGAAAATGCAATCAGTAGCAATATTCTGAGTGTTCATATGTTAAAAAAATCTAATATTTCATAGAAAGTGATTAATAAATTATGACTTAAAGAAGGAACATGTAAGTAACTGATAGAATATTGAGATCTCCAAGAAAATGAGATTTATAAGACATATTGAATAAAAATTGAAAATCATAGAAGTAGTATTTTTTTTTTTGCACTTTTTGGCTGGGGCTGGGTTTGAACCCGCCACCTCCAGTATATGGTGCCAGCATCCTACTCCTTTGAGCTACAGGCGCCGCCCTATCATAGAAGTAGTATTTATGGAAGACCATCTGATTTAACCAATAAGGTATTTCAAGTAAACTTAGAGGAAATAGAATCAGTTCTTCAATTTAGCAAAACTGGATTGTAAAGAATGTATGAAGGAAAATAGTGAGAAATAAGAAAATATGAAAGAGCTACAGGAAAGAATCCAAGGGAAAAAAAGAATGGGGCATTTATGGCTCTAATTTGAAGCATAATGACTACTAATTTTTAATTTACATTAAAAATGTAAAGAAGAATTAGCACAGGTGTTGCATTCCACACAACACATTTTAAAAAGAACTCAACTGAGCGATGGAAAGGGGAAAGAGGAGAAAGAAGAAATTTTATTTTTAAAATCCAATAGTTACTAGTCAATTCATTTTTTATTAAACTATGCCATTTGCTGTTTTGCTAAAAAAGATGGGGCGAATAAAATTGGTATGATTTTCAATACTTAACAAAACATATTGTCTATAAATAATATAAATGCTGACAATGACATAGATATATTATATGTTTGGGGGAAGCTTTAATTGCCAACAGGTTAAATTGTTCAGATAAGAAAACCTTCAATTTAACTTGATTTTTATTTATTTATTTTTTGAATACAGGGTGTCTCTCTATCACCCAGACTGGAATGCAGCGGCAGCATCATAGCCCTTAAACTCCAGGGCTTAAACAATCCTCTGCCTCAGCTCCTGAGTATTCAGCTCTCCTCAGCTCCTGAATGCTACCCCAAACTGAAAAACTAGGAAGCAGCCTGTGAAACCTTCTCCTGCCCTCCTGCCCCTAGCTCCTCATTCTTTCCGGATGCTAACCATAGAAACTAGAATCCCTGTTCCCCAAGGTGGGTCACAGGAAACAGAACTCTTTTATCCCCAAGCCAGCAGTAAAGCCTAAAATATTATTCTAACTTATTTTCACCTTTCTGTCTAAAAGCTGACCATAAAGAAATTTTCTGACCTACCTTTGTCCAATGGCAAAGAATGAGAAGGGTCCTCCCTTATACCCAAGAGGGAGGAAAAGAATGCCACACAGAGATGCCAGGAACGATCTGAACAGACAGGCCTTGCTGTTTACCTGCTCAGTCGTCAACATGAGATCAAGCCCTGTTGTCCAGTCTTATTTCTACGTGTCTTTCCATAATTCATTGAGCCTAAGCATAAAAATGAGTAGTTTTCTCTCTGTCTCTTGATCTTCATTCTGAAGGCTCCCATGTAACATAAAAATATGATGACATAAATTTGTTATCTATTCTCTTGTTAACCTGTCTTTGTTAGAGGAGTGGCCATTGTGACCCTTATGATGGGGACGAAAGGGATCACCCTCTTTCTGCCCCTAAATTTCTGAGTTGAGAAAAAAGGAGTCAGTTTCACTAGAAGAACTTTTTGCAACTGGACACTGTATTCAAATGTTAAATTAATATTAAACATAAGTTATTATTTGGTACATGTGGCACAAATCATTCTAAGTAAGTCAAACATTTTGCCATCGTATCAAATATATTAAGCCAATTCTCATGCAAAATATGACCATAAATATGTCTGAGGTTAAAGTTTGATCTGTAGTGTCCTTGCTTTGAGCATGTAGATAATTGAAATGATTGTTGTCATCTCAGCAAACTGCTTTTCTTTCAGTTTCTCATGCCAACTACTCTGTGTGACAATTTTGAGGAAGAAAGTGCAGGATAAATATTTGTAAGACTTATGTTCTAGGACTCAAATATTAATGTTCAGGAGAAAACAACTAAAAAATTACACCAAAAACACAAAATCAAAATTATAACTAAAAGATTAAAATAATTAATTAACCTCTGAAAATTATAATAATGGATTGCATATTGTTTTCCTAGAACGGGACTGGATAGTATATAAAATACAATAAAAATTCTATGACTTAATTCTTACTTCAAGATACTTATGAATTAATATTCTATTGCAAAAATAAGCAACAAAGAAAAGAGATAGCTAGGAATATAAAACAGCCAATTAAAAATGTGACTGTGGGCTCAGTGACTATAGCATAGCACTATGGCACCAGCCTCATATACCAAGGCTCGCAGGTTCAAACCCGGCCCAGGTCAGCTAAACAACAATGACAATGCAGAAAAAAATAGCCATGTGTTGTGGTGGGCTGGCGCCTGTAATCCCAGCTACTTGGGAGGCTGAGGGAAGAGAATCACGTAAGCCCAAGAGTTTGAGGTTGCTGTGAGCAGTGATGCCACAACACTCTACCGAGGGTAACATAGTGAGACTCTGTCTCAAAACAAACAAACAAAAATAATGACTATGTATTTTCATCAACAGTATAGTCTAGACATGGAAAGAAGCAATAAGTGGAGAACAAGATTACTTGGATGAGGACATAATTAGTGAAGGAAGTTTTGAGGTAGGAAGTCTTAAGTACATCCAAGTCCTCTAGATAAGAGGGAAAAGATCAAACTAAGTCACAGGAACAAAATTAATACAGGTTTATGATGTATGGCTTTCTAGTAGTCAGATAAAACTTGTGGACCCCTTCTCAGAAAGTTTTATAAAGTACAAAAAGACTAAGAATAATTTTTTGAGTATATACAGACAAGAAAATGAATACAAATGCAATTATCAAAATTAAACACAAAACACTTTTGGATATAGTAGTAAATTTACCTATTTATTTATTTTGATGGCATCAAATTCAAATTTTATTTGCTAAGCTATTTCAGAAAGTATTGTAATTTCCTTTTATCTGGGAAAAAGTTGACAAGACATTCCCCAGAGAAAAGACCTTTTTAGTCTGTGACCCTATCACCCTGACTTCCTCTGATGTTGGAAGCTAAGTCAGCAGATAGGGCCTGGGGAGTCCCTGGACAGGAGAATAGATGTTTTTTGCATTTGATCACATCACCCAGCAGTAGCTCTAATGACTCCCATTACTGAATTAGTAGTGGGACTCAAAGCCTGAAATATCTGCAGCAACTCTGAGGTGATATGAATACCCTATGACTTCTATTCAAGACAAATTTATAGTTGCTGCTGACTTCTGAGGAATGTGGCATACCTCACAATTAAGAGAGATGTTAACTTTCAGTTAGAAGTGAAAGAAAATAAAGGTGTAATATTTTCTCTAACAAAGTCCATAGACCGTTCAATTCTGCCCACGGACCTCTAAGTTTCCTGCGGACTAAGGAATCTCAGGCTAAGAATCCAGAGACGTTGATGGCATGCCAGACACACTTCTTTAAACACTTTACTGGTATTTCTAGTCATTCTTACAATGTGATATAAGAAAGAAATGAAGCTCAAAAAGTTTTATATAACCCACCCAAAGTCACATAAAGAATGTCAGCTATAGGATTAGAGTTTGAATATCATATTCTAAAGTTTTTCATTGTTTTTCCCACCACTGTCAAATACCACCTAGAAAATCAGCAGAATGGTTTAAATTGGTAGTTAGAAGATAGATCCAGCCAGAGCAAGGAGTTGTTTTCAAAAGAAGCAGGAATAACAGTTGGAAGTGTGTGGCAGGGCCAGACTTTGGAGGGCTCTAAAAAGCATGCACACATGCAGGGAAAAATAAAGGAAATGTTTTAGGACATACAAAAATAAGCCCATAGAGGGTATGACAGTGAAGCAATGTTTCAGAAAAAAGCAATCTGATGGTAACAATGAATCAAATTGTAACCGTAAGGATTATTATAATACTTTCTCTTCAGAATATTTTGGAATACATCTAAAATCACACATTTTTGTAAAGGCTTTATCCAAAATTAGTTGAACTCTTTTAATAATTTTCAGAAGGTGTTTTGGGTTTTCCCTCAAAACTTATTTGTAAATATAGTAAGACACGAGAAACATCTACTTACCAACACTCGTGCAACTTTCACCGTCTCCATCCAGCTTCCACCCTTCATAACAGGAGCACTTGACTGTGTGCTTCTGCTGCTCACACACTTGACTGCACTTGAGGTGATTGCTACAGTAATCCACGATTTCACACGTTTTATTGTCTTTGTTGAGTTGAAGTCCTTCAGGGCAGGAACATACAATTCCTCTTCCAGGAACAACAGAACAGTGGTTACTACAGCCTCCATTGTTCAAAGAACATTCATCTATGAAAAGAAAGGAATAGAATATAGGTCTTATCAATTGCTTTCCTCAGTTAAATACTAATCATTGAACTCAAATCTCCAGTTAGAGTCAGGATGTTATAAATAAATGCAAGAAAGCCCTCTTTGGGATTTTCTCCCAGGGGCTGTTGTAGAAATGACCATAAAATATAACCATGATCAAATTTAACTCTATATAATAGAAAATGAGAATGGAAAATATTTATTTCTATAAAAATTTGGTGCATAGTTTGCCTTATTCCACAGATGCAAAATAAACCCAATGCCTCTATTATTACTGGAAATATTATGCTGAGCCTTTTAGCAGCTGGGCAAAATCTATTGTACAGGTATTCCAAAAAAGATGTAAACACATGGATAATCTGAATATTTGACTTATCTCAATGTTAAATAAATATCTACATATGTACATATGCATATGTAAACATTATATATCTATATCCATATCTTTATCTATATATCTTTTTCTACATCTATAGTCTGATCTATACTGCAAATGCACAATAGATTACTTGGTGCTTTACTAGCTTCAGACACTGTGCCCTATATATTGGTTATTATGATTATTTTTTTTTTGCCTGAGCCAATTCTTTATTATAACTCTCTATGCCTCTGATATACATGTGTCTCATAGAAGAAGCTAAGTTAAAAAGAAATGAGCAAAGCAAAATGTATCACAAAGAGTCATCACATGAAAAATTCAGTTCATATTCTACAGGAGAGGTCTCTAAGAAAAAGGATAAAGGATACTTGTCCTTAATGAAATGAGAATATTGGGCAAATAAAAACTAATTAAAGAAAGAGTGCTTCAGAATCTGATCTTAGGAGGGTCCACTATCAGAAACAGATGAAAAATCTCGGAAAGAAGAATTTGATGAACATCTTCAGGATTTGTTGCTGTGAGATGTTCCTATTATGATTAATTCATTGAGGTCATGGAAAAAATAAATAGTACAATCTTTCTACCTTCTTA